TTTCAACTTTTTCTCCATTTAACTAAGATACCTCTGCTGTTTATCGAAGTCACTATACAGGTATACGAACACGGCAAACGTGATAGTTTGTATTGTTGTCACGGGCGAAAATTATTTCGTTTTAATTTAAAATGGAGTTTGAAGCGACATTTCACATTCTAAACAGTACAATTAGTTTAATTTATTAGCTCCAAAATGTTGGGTGAAGTACAGCGTGGACAGAAGTTGAACAGACCTTTGGTATTGAGTACCTTTGGTAGAGGAGAGGTGGTAAACGTCGAACCCTGTCAGACGATTTCGGAAAATTTCACCGTAAGGTTTGTTCGCCAGTGTCGTATGGTAGAATAAAAGTAACACCAATCGTTTTAAATTGTTACCGGCGGAATCGGGCAAGCGTATTTATGGGCTAGATATAATTATTTAAATAAGTACTATTAAATCCCAAATCATAATTCTACAAAATTTCAACAGCTATTCATAAATAAAAAAATCTAAATACGTGTTGTCCGTCCATCTCGATGGGTTCGTAATAAACCCATCGAATTTCACTACTAGAAAAACATTGAAAGTTTCTCTTTCGAATATGTTGGAAAATTTTAAATTTTCCTTTGGGAAAGTGGGTTTCCACCAATTTTCCGGCAAGACACACTTTTTTTTCGACAGCGGATTTTTGTTCGTTTATTGACATTTCCTTTCGTATGGTAAAAATCGAAAAAAAAAATATTTTTAGAATATTTTGAATTTTCGACAAATTTTCCTAAAAAACTAAAAATTCCATACTACTCGACTTTCCTCACAATCTAACATCAAAATTTCCCTGATATCTCACTCACATTGCCCAGGGAAATTAAAATTGTATAAAAAAATTCAAGGTAAATGTGTTTTAAAAAACTTCCACCGAATGATATAGGAAAAATTTAAATTTAACCTCGGTAAAAGAGTTTTCCACCAATTTTCTGGCTAAACCAATTTTTTTTTTTCGACAGCGGACTTACAGGTTTATTGGCATTTCCTTATATTTGAAGAAAATAAAATATATTTTTCTGTTTACCGAATTTTCCGAAGTTTTCTGCAAAAAAAAAACATTTGCGAGTACTATTCGACGTTCCCACAATCTGACATCCTCATTTCAGAGGAAAATTAGGGGAAACTGGGTCGAACGCTTTTCCAGGAAAAAGCTTGCTTAAAAGGGGAAATAGAGCAAAGACCTTTTGAAGATAGGGTTTTTATGATAGGTGGAGGTGGGCTTTTTTCAGATATTTATGAAAAATTTAAAATAAGTGCGTTTATAAAATTTCTCTAACGGATGGTATCGGAAAATATGAAATTTTTTTACGGTACAGTACTTTTTCACCAAAATTGATTTATGACAGAGGGAGGGGGAAATAAAAAAAAACACGAAACTTTTGGCTTTTTCTTAGAAATTTATAAAAAAATTAAAATTTAAAACGTTTTTCTCTATCGGATCGAAAATTTGAAATTATCCAACGGTAAAATGGTTTGGTGGTCGCATGACATGCGACATGACTCACTAATTTATTAAACTATTCACATGAATACGCGAAATTCTGATGTAATATTGTATAGGTTAAGTCAACAAACTCAATTCGTGTATCTGGCTATGTGAGTACATACTCGAAGGCCATTAAAAAAAAAAAATATCTTCAAATTATTGATTATTTAGAGGGGAAAAGCACAATAAGTAACATGCAATAAGGATTCCTTAGCATACACAACTGTGAAACCGATTTACAGTTGATGTTACATGACTGAAAGTTATCAATTGAGGGCATTTGAGAATATTAATAGGGGTAATTATTAAGGAAATTAAGAGCTATTAGTTTGGGGGTTGCGCACTGGACTGGTTGGAAAATAGGAAACGAAAGTTAAGGTATTTCTATTATAGGGGGTGTCACAGGGTAGTGTTCTGGTTCCACAACTATTTTTAATTTATATTAGTGACATTGCTAGTATAGTCAAAAGATGCTCAATAAATTTATTTGCGGATGATACCCTAATCTATTTTACCCATGAGCTAGGTGTACTGTGAATAGTTACATTTTCTCAGAGTATCTCTGTGATAGAACTAGCCCTGTTTTATCACAGCGACCCGATACGGGTGCTAAAAAAAAAACAACAGCCAGGGAAGATCGCCTTCTCGCCATTGCTGCTTTACGAGATCGAATGCAAACCGCAAGAATACTCCAAAGCAGTCTTCAGCAAGCTCATGGAACAGCAGTCAGCACTTCTACTGTTCGTCGAAGGTTGAGAGAAAGTGGTTTGACAGCTTGCAGTCCAGCTACAAGACCCTTGCTTACTGCAGCACAAAAAAGACGCAGACTTGCTTTTGCTCCCAAATATATGAATTGGACAGAGGACGAATGGACAAATTTACTGTTCACGAATGAGTGTAGAATGTGCATATGTGGAAAAGGTGGCCGAAATAAGGTATATAGAAGAGCTGGAAAACGTTATGCTGCTTGTACTCGGTGGCCTCGAGTTTCTTTTGGGGGTAGCTCATTAATGTTTTGGGTATGAATTTCTTTTGAGGCACACACACAGATTTCGTTATTGACAGAGGCGCATTAGCATCACGACGATACGTAGAAGAGCATTTAATGAATGGCATATGCTGGGTTTGTTTGTAATGATTTTCTGCTAATGCAAATTAACGCGCGACCACACACCGCAAGGATGGTAACAAAGTACCTTGAAGAGGTTGGTAATGAACAAGAACAGCAACTGGTCTTATATATTCTTAAATGCTATCGAATGAATTATGGACTAACGTACAAACTATTGCAGACATTGGCTTACGATTATGCGTTAAAATTACACAGAAAACTTCCTGAAAAATGGAAAGAGAATGGATTAGCAGAAAAGAACTGAGTAAAGGGCTTTATGAAAGACACGAACTGTCATTGCGTAAGCCAGAAAACACGAGTTTATCTAGGAGTACGAGTTTTAACAAAACAAATGTTACGGAATTTTACGAAAATTATAATAAAATTCTTACAGAAACTCCAGAGATAGAAGCCTTGGAAGAGGCATTAAGAGCTAAAGACCAGAAAAAAGCGAAAGTTACAAAGAGAGTCTTCAACACAAAAGAAACATCCAGTTCAGATGAATCTTTTTCCATCCATGATGATTCTGATGTTCTGGATTTGGAAGAACGGTCGGAAGATGAACTTGATTATGAAGTTGTATTTGAAAACTTGTCAATAGGCGATTTTATAGTTGTAAAATTTTGTACCAAAAAAAAGTGCACTATGTTGCTCGAGTTTTGAAAAAGACCAGTTGTGACTTAGAAGTCAAGTACATGACAAAGAAAGGTTTAAAATTTTATTTTCCTGAAACTGACCATATTTCTACTGTAGAAATCGGAGATGTGGTCGGCAAATTGCCATCTCCTTCACAGTTAAAGGGTACGGAAAGAACACAATCCTTAATTTTGTATAAATTGTCCTTGTCTTCGTTTAATTTTCGATAAATATTTAAACGTATTTTAAGTTACTTATGTTCTAAGACACTTTTCTTTAAGAATAAATAACTTTATTTTTGTAAAAAGTTGTGTTGAATTGCACCACACTCAATGTTGAATTGTGCCCCACTCAATGTTGAATTGTACCCCACTCAATGTTGAATTGTGCCCCTCAGTGGGACACCATTCAACAATCTGTCCAAAAATATTGATAATTCTATGTAATCGATAAAGAATAGATTTTATAAAAATGTCCTATTATCAATTGATATACAAAATATGGCAGTATTATCTTGTCACTCAATCGCCCTTTTACTATCTATTATTTTGAGATAAAAAAATTCCAACTAATAAAGTGTTGAAAGGTGCACCCTCTCCCCTACCTCACAGATGGTTGTTTTATTATATCAGCGCGGTAGTCTACTTGACCGTAGCGTGTCGTCATCCATCAGAATCTTTTTCTCACGGCAACGAGCAACACCGTAAAACGACTTAAATCACCAGCGTGCCCTAGTCATGTTGAGAATTATTATACTGTTTAAATCTATCAATAACTAAAACTTGTGATGCATTTTCTCGTTTAATTTTATTTTAATAAGCATAAAAAATATAATAAGTGCAGTGATGTTTTTACGCAGTATTCAAAATTAAAAGAATTTTGTTAAGTGATGTTGGTACATAATTTAATTCTGTACGCACCTAAAGAAAACCAGTGCAGTTTCACATATTTCAGTCGAAGCTATTTTTAAAATTGTAAGAGAATAAGACGATTCTCCCACATATAGTATGTACTATATGGCTCTAGTAATATTCAGTAAGAATTGTACGATTCTAAACATACACAGTCTAGTTTATTATCCTACCAAATATGATCTATTTGGGTACGAAACCATAGATGTGTGAGATTAATTCACTCTTGATTGATAATAATAACGTTTGCACCTTGCATCCCATTCATAAATAAAAATTCGCCACCCATACATATTACGATCGCTTTGGTTATTATCTGGTCTATTTGCAGGACTTAATATATTGGAAATTATCCTAAAAAAAATTGCAAAGCCTGAGAATCGAACTAAATATCTCCTCGATTGTAGGCCTTCAGGGCAATGCTCTTATTTACTGCGTTATTTCAACACTTACAAGTTTTTATAAATTTAGTAAATATACAAATTCTAATTGATACTAGCATTGTTAAAACACACTATTTTCGGTTTGAATATGTTATTTTTGTTCGTATTTATTTACAAAATATTCATTATTACACAAAATTGTGTTGTGTACTTTATAAAGTTATACCAAAAAACGCAGTGACAATTGGGGGCAAGCTTAAATTGTACACGTTTACCGTGTTCGTATTATGATAGATGGATCTGAATAAGAAACCGCACCACCCTGTATACTTGTAAAGCAATGATCCTAGCTATAAAAACTATAATTTACTCAACAATCGTGATAGCAAGCGAATTATTTTAGTTACTGTACACTATGCCAATTTGGCTAAACCTTAAAAATATGTTGTTTGGCGTACGTCACAAGATTGCTAATATTCATAAATGATTGTCAATAGATTGATACACATTTCGGAATTGCTGAAAGATTGAGATTTTCTAGGAAAAAAATCGAAAGCACATGCTAAGCCTAAATATTAAACAAATCATCAAATATGTTATTGTCAAGTAAATGTATGTATGACGGACTAAAAAGCTAAGCTGCTTTTAAATTTATTTTGTAAATGCTTAAATACTGATACGGATTACTGTAATCATGTGAATGACCCATGTTGTCAATGAAACACCCATGCCTGCCATAGAGATTCGGAATGCTTTACCATCACCATTTGCTTAAAAGAAAAATCTACCAAAGCTGCTTATTTGCAATTTATCAATGACTCATTGCTTTAGGAAACAGTTTTCAACAGTAAAATCGCTGTCATACCCAAAAAAAGAAGTGATTGTTTCTAAGATAACGCCTATTTGATTAGAAAAGCTACTAATATTGTCATGATAGAACCTTTTTATATACAAAGTAATGCATGAAAAACACCATGGCTGCCATGCTGACGGACTGTTCGTTTTTGTTTAAAATAGTGACGCATCCTGTACTAAAAAAATAAAATTGTAAAACACAACTTTATAAAATAAAAATAAGCAGCAGACTTTGAAATTGGTTAAGCATAGCTCTGACTATGTTCCAAGGAAAAACTAGAGATTTTTGTTCCTTGTTCAACCCAATTTTTGAGTTTCCCTCGCAGTTCTTCCAAACTTTTTGACTTCGCCTTGTTTATTCTTTTGTACTTGACATCCTTCGGTTTTGTGACAGACCGGTGATTCGACATTACGCGATTGTATTTTTTTACCTGGTTTTTGGAATTTTCTTCTGTACCTGAAAAACAACAAGTTATAAAAGTAATTTTAAGGAGCAAATTCCAAGATCGTGCAGATGCCATTACAAATTGAGTTTGCTGATTTTATAATATATCCCATCATAAGATCTTGACCAAATGTATATAGGATCACCCCTGAGGTACCCCCTTTCTAACAAAAAAAATCATAAAAATCGGACAACTTGCTAAAGAATTATCGCTGAACATTCATAAAAAAAAATATTTAGACGATTGAGAACCTCCTCCTTTTTTGAAGTCTGTTAAAAATGTATTTTATGTCAGATAAGGGGCCTATTCTATAACATTTAAGATAATTTTAAGTGGCAGGTTAAAAGTTATTTATAATCATGCAGTTAAAATTTTAACACAAATGTCTATTCGATATTCCATCAGTTTAACTTTTTATTAGTTATTTTATAACCAAAGAGAGTGAGAAGCCAACCTATAATGCAGAAATTTGCTTGAAAGAGCAGTAAAAATATCTACAAATCCAATAAAAATAGTTTTTTTTTGACGTTTGCTTTCAGTGTCATAAATGTCATTTTATGAGAGGCATGTTAAAAATGATTCACGTTTTAACACTAGTGTATTGTAATTTAACACTTTCACTGCCCATCACGTTCATTAACGTCATGATAGTTTTTCCCTATGCACATGACGTTTGCCCATGACGTTTTGTAACGACATTTGAAGATGTATGCTTCGATGAATGTAGACAAGCCGCTATGCAGTGAATTGTCTTTATAACCCGGTAGGCATGTGAAACCGTTCTTAAATTAGTACAATATGAATTTGGTTTTGATATTATGTTTGTGAATTTAACGTAGCAAGGCTTTAACAGGTTCTAATTAAATGATGTACCTAATTGTTCGATATTTCAATTTGTGGCATAGATACGCAAACAAGTCTTTAATAAAAATTATGTGGATTTGAAAAACACATAAAATAAAAATGTTTTTGGATATACAGTGTGTTACGCTTTTGCTTAGAAAGTAAAAATATATATTTGTATTTTATCTCAGTTTTAGAATTCTTAGGAAATACAGGGCTGCCAAGCAATTAATTTTTTGTGGCATAAAATCATACAGACCCCAAATAAAATTATCAAAATTTAAGTAGCTTATCAATGAGTTGAACATTATTTAAAATACAGGCTTATAAGATAACGAATAGACATGATAGAACTAGTTTATTTTATACAAAGGGTTTTGAAACATCTCATAAATATGGCTCATTTTAACTTTTTACCCAATTTACCCAAAATGTCTTAAAAATGACAATTTTAAGTTCAATTTACTCAAATGCAACACCCTGTATACCATTTTAGCATTAAATTCATTATAAATTTACCTATCTAACGATACATGTTAGCCTATTATACATATACAGGATGTCTCATCAGTACGTAATACTTATACTGTTTTAAAATAAAACCCCCCATGTATAACAAATGTATTTGTTTTCACATTGTCAAACAATTTTAATAGACTTAACGTTTCTAAAACTGTTTTGACTTTCCATTAATTTGCTACGTTGTATATAAGATGTTTCTAAACGCAAAATTACGATTTTCTTATTTTTTTTTTTTTAATGAAATGCCCTGTATACTTCACCACAAATTTAATTAACTAATAATTTAGTTTCTTTACTTTTTATTTTGTTTGCATTCTTGAGCTTAAACTGATTTTTAAATTTTATTTACAATGATACTTATTACTTGTAACGTCGAAGGAATAGAAAACCGTTCATTAATTCTGACAAATGGGTTACCAAAAATTACATAGGCATTTTACCATAAATAAGTCCATATTTTCAAAAGCCAATTAGAAAAATGTGAAAAAATTATGTCAATTTTCATGGTAAAATCGTCAAAATTTTGAGAAAAAATTAGTTTGGGAATAGATTGGAAAAATAAAAAAAGTAAAGAAATTAATTTATAAATTGGTGGTATAACACACAGGATATATAGAATATTATAAACCTCAAGTTTAGACACACCCTGTATGCACAACACCAAATAAATGAATTTATTAAACATTTTTAGGAACGTTTAATCTATTAAAATTATAAAACGATGTGAAAACAACCAAATCTGTAAGGCATAAGTGTTTGGTTTAAAAAACTAACTGTTTGGTATTCCCCTCATTTATAGACTACCATATATATTTAGGAAAAATTGTTAAATACGAGGTGTGGCAGAAAAGTAATGGGACTGATTTTTTACTTTACGAAGTTTTTATTTCTTTCAAACATCAATGTTATTCCCTTTCAAAGTAGTTCCCTTGGACAGCTATACACCGATGGTGACGTGGTTCCCACTGTTCGTAGCAGCACTGGAAGTCTACAACCGTTATGGTTTTCAACATGTCCGTTACAGTCTTTTGGATTATTTTTAAAGTCCCGAAATGACGGCCTTTGAGGACATTTTTCAGTTCAGGAAAAAGGAAGAAGGGAGATGGGGAGTATAAAGCCGTCCTCGAAAGGCTCAGAAAAAGTGTCATTCGCGAGAGACCAGACATTGCAGAGAAATGGTTGATCCATCATGTCACACTGCTCTCTCCATAGCAGAATTTTTGACCTCAAAAGACATTCCTGTGGTTCCCCATCCCCCTCATTCCCCTGGCCTCAGTCCATGACTTCTTCCTTTTTTCTGAACTGAAAAATATCCTCATAGGACGTCATTTCGGGACTTTAGAAATCATCCAAAAGACTGTAACGGACATGCTGAAAACCATAACGGTTGAAGACTTCCAGCGCTGCTACGAACAGTGGGAACAACGTCTCCATCGGTGTGTAGCTGCCCAAGGGAACTACTTTGAAGGGGATGACATTGATGTTCGAAAGAAATAAAAACTTTGTAAAGTAAAAAATCAGTCTCATTACTTTTCTGCCACACCTCGTAATGTCTTACAACTTTTATGTTAAACACTTCTTCATATATCCAATGATAAAATATCTATCGATCAATTACCCACTGATGGAGCACCTTGTATATATATATATATATATATATATATATATATATATATATATAATCAAAACACTGTATAATATGAAGCATTCTTTCATCACAGCTTGGTCCTTATAAATTGAACAATATTCTAGTGATAAATACAGTATTATCATGCTACTATAAAACAAATAAAATACAGGATGTTCTATTTAAAAACATGTTTTTACTTTCCAGGCAAAAGCGTAACAGCCTGTATACCCAAAAATGTTTTTAAATTATATTTTTCAAATCTACATAACTTTTATTAAAATCATGTGTCTATAATACAAATTGAAATATCAAGCAATTATGCACTAATGGGATAGCCTGTATAGAACTAGGACGAGAGTTTGTCTTTTTTCATCCTTTCAGACTTCCTTTTAAACTACTCTTGATTGTTGACTCCCCGCCTTGAATGGTCCAACCTTCCCTACAATATTTTGACATGGTCGCTGCAGCTTCATTGGCTAATAGTACCACCATTTGGATACCCAACTTCTTTCGATTTATTAATTCCTTATTTATTCCATTCCCTAGATAGGCTTCCGAGAACTTATAGCGTTGTATGAAGATAATATAGTAGGGTAACCTTATGGACATATCATTGGAGGACGATGGACATAGAATGTAGATGGCGATACTGTATTTGTGGTCCAAGTCAGGTCTTTAGGTCATGTCTGTGCTTGAGTATGAATTATAATTTAAAATCTTCTTTTTCATTTATACTTGTCTTCGGTAATGTATTTTTATAGTTACTATTTATTATTGCAAATTATTACAGAAGGGTATTTGAAGGTCACATAAAATGCCAAAAAAATCAATATAATAAAATAAATCAGTTTTTGTTTGGAAAAGATTGAATGATTTAAGATTGGGTGGAATTTTACTATAATAGGGGAACATTTTTTTTCTATATTGTGGTTGGATTTTGGATTGATGGCTTGAGTTTTACGCTGTTTATTTTTATTCACTTTTATATAATGGTATCAAATTAAGAATAGGACATGAACAACTGAAGATTATTGTTCAAAATGAGACGAATAGACGAAAATAAAAAATGCTTGGATAAAATATTCTGAAATATAGGATGTTAAGTTGAAAATTACAAAAATAATGGGTAAATATATAGGTGTAGTTATAATTTTATTATTCAATATAAGTTTACTAAAATCGGCACTGACAAAATTTAACTAAAAGATTTGTTTAGCGCCATTTTTTTTTAATTTTTCATTTTTTGGGAGGAAAATATATAGTAATGCCGAGTGAAATATTTAGGATGTTGGAAAGACATTAATCATATTCAACCTATTGATTTTGAAATTACTTCTGTCACATTAAGTGTATTATTAATTAGCTTTTAAAAGATGCAACCGTATTACTGATGTTTATTTTATTTATTTGGAAAAGTTTTTAACCGACTTCAAAAAAGGAGGAGGTTCTCAATTCGTCGCAATATTATTTTTTTTATGTTGAGCGATAATTCTTTAACACGGTGTCCGATTTCAATGATTCTTTTTTTGTTAAAAAGGGGGTTCTTCAGGGGTGGTGCCATATAAATTTGGACAAAACCTAATAATTGAATCCATGAGAAAATCCTCAAACTCTTCATTTTTATGTATGTTTAGCGATAATGCTTTACCACCTTGTCCGATTTATATAATTATGTTTTTGTTAGTAAGAGGGTATCCCATATAAATTTGGTTAAGATGTGGTAATGGCATCTGCACGTTTTTGAAGTTTTTATTTTTAATTTCTAATACTTGTCATATAACACATTAATATACAAAAAATTATTTAAAATTGCGGATTTAAATCTTTTAGTTTTTTTAATTTCTATTTTAATGTATTCTCTTGAAGCTTTCCGATTGTAAATATATATTTACTAGATTAAATTATACTGCTAATTGATTTAGAGTTTCTCAATGTTTGTTAGGCATTTCCACCTGTACTGATTTATATTTAATTTCTTATTTTTATACCGTGAGCACCATAAGTCTTACCATCCCTATCTAACTCGTTACTGGAGCCTTCTTAGGAAAATCGCCGAGACACGTCGATTTTTGATTTCTACAGTGTACATTTTTGTATGAATAGTTTACCCTTAATTTCATCCCTTACTGGAGGGGAGCAACCCTTTCGAAAAATTTAAATGGCATGGGGTGGTGAGTGATAGCTCATTTGAAAGAGGGTTTTATTCTCTATTCAACCATGTAAAAAATTTTGAAATTTGCTTCATTAATTCTCGACTAGTTGTTGTTTCAGAATAACGGAAATTAACGTAGCGCACTCATCCTTAGAATTAAAATTCGGCCCTGCATGATTTCGGTTTTGGTTCAGACGTGAAGTAAGACTTTTTGCCATTAGAAGGTCACTATTAGTTTAGTTGCTTTCCTATTTTGTGAGGTTTTGTTATTTTTAAACATTAATAAATCAGCACGTAATGAAGCAAATTTAAAATTTTTTTGCACGGTTGAATAGAGAATAAAACCCCCTTTCAAATGAGCTATCACTCACCACCCCATGCCGTTTAAATTTTTCGAAAGGGTTGTTCCCCTCCAGTAAGGGATGAAATTAAGGGTAAACTAATCATACAAAAATGTACATTGTAGAAAACAAAAATCGACCTGTCTCGGCGATTTTCCTAACAAGACTCCAGTAACGAGTTAGTTAGGGGGGGGTAAGACTTATGATGCTCACTGTATAAAAATTTTCACTAGATTCTATTATACTGTTAATTGACTTAGAGCTCATCAGTTTATTAGGAATTTCCGCCTTTGGCGATTGTTAATTAACACGTTAAGCGCCACAGACGAAGCTGAAAATCCAGTTCACTGGGCCAAACCGTTACTACTGCTAAAAGTGTTAAATAACATGTGACACACTCATTATACCTCATGCCACTTAACGTGTTGAGCGAGTGCTCTGCTCCGTTTGTTAAGAGCATCCGTCTTACTGATTGATACCCCCTTTCTATCTAGCTCGTCCAGAATCGCCTTTAGGGTAAAAGGTACAAGGTGGTTACAACGTTTGGGTTGTTTTTTTTTTTCAGGTATTACCCTATATGTAAGTGACCGCCTGAAATTTACTTAATCCACAGGGGCTACTTTGAATGCACTCTAGGGGTACTCGAGGGTCGCAGAGCAAAATGAGTTATCAAAACTGGCGCCCGGGAAACCCTTCTTCTAGATAACAGCCTGGCGCCACCCACGCAAGTGAAGCAAGAAGACGTGTCAAAACTTGATAAGATTTTAACTTTAAATACGGGAAAAATATACTGCTCGTATTCACCAACAACCAGAAACCAATTTTTGTACACGATAGGAATTAAAAATAAGGTGAATTGTTCATATGTATCCGAGTTATAAGTTTTCTGTGCAGTCGACCTTCTACCGAGGAGTAAACAACCTTGGAAGTATGGTATACAAACTGATGGAATTCCATTGGAAGTATGTGAAAGACCGTAGAATTCCATAGAAGTCCTTGGAATTCCAGTGAAAGTCCTTGGAATTCCAGTTTAAGTGAGTGGAAATATACTTAAAATTCCTTTACATGGTGCATGGGTCTCACCTTTGTGTTATGGTTATTCCACATAACGACTAAACTGGCGTCAACGGTACTTGAAATGGTGTAATTTAAACTATAATAATAGTTTGTGAAACAAGTGTGCAAAGCCACACTTTTATCCCTAGCGCATAAGTTTGTGACATGAGCCGTCAGGCGAGTGCTACAAATCAAGCGAGTTGCACAGTATACTTTTTCCACGACCATACTTTTTAGAGTTTACAAATGCAAAATTTAGAGGATACAAAATAATTAATATTCATTGCCTTAAGTATACATGAAACTTAGTTTTATATTTTTATTTCGTTCAAGAGGCATACAAATAGTGGATACTTAAAAATGTTTCTTCCAGTTTATGTAAACAGCATATTTTACTGATATTAGGGTCCATATCTATGATTTTACTTGAGATTCCATTGTCCGTGATGGAGGAATTTCGTGAATTTGAATGGAATTAAGCGGTTTTCCGTGGAAGTACTTTGGAATTATGGTGTACAAAATTTGTTCAGGTGGTTTGCCCCTCGCCTATGTCTACTATGTCTGAGGGGATGTTAGGCCCTTTGAATGTGCCTGGTTGTTCGAATAATATTGTTAAATAACCCGTTTTATATAAAACTCAGATTTAATACTATACCGCGAAAAAATTTTAAATTAATTTTTGTTTTACCTTCAGTTGGTTTTTCCGAATTATAACAAGAATTCTCCACCACCATGTTTTCATTTGTTGAACTATTTTTATTAACGATATTCTCTTCTAGTGATTTGTCTCTGATAACTTGACTTTCATTATTGCAATTTGACTTGCCACCTGTATTTGCAAATGATTCTCTTCTTTTATTTGCATCAATTTTGTTCTCTTGGTCATTGTCACCATCTTCTTCAACACTGTACACGGTTTCCAGGATCTCAGGACGTCTCAGAAAACCATTATTTCTTCTTACCGAAGAGTATTTTAAATTTGGATCGATGGCATCTGATATTGATCTGAAACAAGGTAATTTTAATAAGATATTTATTCTATATCAAAAGAATTTACCTCACAACAGTAACTCCATCCAAATTTCTAAATTTCGCAACATGATATGTATTTTCACAGTCCAAGTCTTCCATAACCACAGCACTATCGGAATCATTTAATGACTCGAAATCTGGAAATGCAAACTCTAATTCTGTAATTTCTGATTGTGCAGGTACCTCTAGGCCATTGTCTTCCAGCCGGTTCGCCAATGTTTCAATAATTTTCTGTTGGCGCTGAATAATTGTTTCTCTGATATTAAGCATCGTTGATATGTCTTTTTGTTTTCGGATCAGTCTTGATTCGAACAGGAGGAGCTTTGAACTGAGTGCTTTGAGTTGATCGCTTTTTTCTCTTTCTATACGAGAAATCATTATTTCCTAAAAAGATTTTACTTATGTATAGGACAAGTAGAAGTTAAAATAATACATATATTAAGCACATACAAGACAAAAAAGAGACAATGAAATATTAACAAATTAACAGAAAAGCCTAAATATGGAGCAACTTTTTTAATTAATAAAGGTTTTTTTAATGATTAGGAAAGTGTAGAATTTTAAGTCCAGTTTTCAAACTTAAATTCTGTTATCAATAAAGACGTCTCTGCAGGACTACATTAAATATTTAATGGATGTTATTGTGATTTCTAAAAACTCGATCCTTGTTTAAAGCATAACCCCGAGAATGAAGTAGCTAAAATGAATGTGAGAGATTAATAACTGTTATATAATGAACGTACCCGTTGGTAACATTATAAATGTACGGAACGTACCCTTAGGATGTCATACATCATCAATCAATATACATCAGAAGACGTATGACACTTGCTCAACACTTAGATAAGATGACTGACAAGATGTCAGTCAAACAATTAACGTCTAATTATTTAATATTATTGTCATCCTTGTGTATTTTGTCAGAATCTTATAATGAATAGATAAATAATAAATATCATTTACTGAACTATCTGTTATTTAGCCCACAGTTCATAAGTGAACATAACAATAACCAGCACGTCTTCTACATGGTCTCAGGCTCGCTAGTTCCCGAACAGCATATTCGCTCCGTGCGAAGTCATGGAAAGGGAAGCAATAGCGATACTAGCGCTAGCTGCGGATAATTCGTGCATTTTAGGGCGATATTTTGTAATTTTGGCATATCAAATACACGTATACATTTTCCTTTTTTTCAAAAAACTAAGTAAAAACAATACAATAAGCAACCGGAATTGCTGTGTTGAAAATTGTACAAATACTAGAAAAAAAAAACAGTGAAATATATACAAAAAATTTCAGTAGCAAAGTAGAAATTAAATCAAAGAAATAAATGGATAGGTGTACAATAAGAAGAAAAATTACCTTTATTTTTGTAATAATAACAGTAATGCTGGAAATAGTAGACATCAGAAACTTAAAAGGTTTTAAATAAACAATAAATTATAATTTTACGATGTTCTTTAATATCCCTTTATTCTTAAATGTTCATTCAGCAAGGACTAGATTTCACGATTTCTGCCTTTGATTATTATAATGTGGCTGAAATGCAATTTTGTGACTTACTGATGGGAAACCAGTTTTAATCATTCATTCTATGTTTTCGTTCGAACAAAAATGAAAATATAAATAACGATCTTTTTTTTATACATTTTAACTTCACGCTAATAGTATTAATTTTTTTTTTTTTTTTTTTTATTTTTGACCTCTGAGATTTTGACAGAATAGCCTAACTCTTTAATGACAACTTATTAAACTTAGGCAACTTCTATACATTTTCCAGTAAATACTGTTGCCTGCCTATATTTTATTATTGATTTTTATTGATTATACATATTTTTTTTTTAATTTAAGCGATAAAAATATATAATAATAATAAATTATTGTTTTACTTGTTTTAAAATCCATATACTTTTATTAAAACTAACATATATACTTCTTAATTACGAATTCTAATAAAAATTGCATTTGTCAGTATACGCAGAAATAGTCCATTAGTACCAAAACGAATTGGCGCTGCTGTCGCGCACGGAGCGAATAGAAAAGTCATTCAGTATTCTCATTCCAAAGAGAGACGTATGGAACAGGGGGGATGTTAAGGACGGCTCCAAAACTGAAAAAGGAGTAGAAGTGGGAGTTTTCGGCAAGAAGCCAAGAGTTAACATATCAACAAGTTATAAAAGTAATTTTAAAAAACCAACTTCAAAATCGTGGAATACCCTTAAAAATTGAGATTTTTTATTTTCTCATAGATCATCAGATCCTAACCAATTGTATATGGGACAACCCCTGAGGTACCCTCTTTCTAAAAACAAAAAAAGAATCATAGAAATCGGACAATGTAGCCAAGAATTATAGCTCGACATACGTAAAAAAAAATATTCCGACGAATTGTGAACCTCCTCCTTTTTTGAAATCGGTTAATAAACCCGAGCTCTCTGGCCACGGTCTCACTATTAGGAGCGAGGGAGTTTTATAATTTTCTCCCCACAAACAAGACTATAAAAATCTTTTCAGGTAGCCAAGCAACCCTCAAGGCCTTGAGCTCCAATCAAGTTGACTGAAAGCAGGTTTAGAACTGTATAAATACCCTAATTATTTTGATCTGGGTTTTGGGACACAGCGGTTTGGGGTGCAATAAAAAAGCCGACGCGATCGCTAAAAGATGAACCGAATCAGAGTTCATATGACTAGAACCATTCCTGTGCATTGCAAATAGCACTGAAAATGGAATTATCTCAAAATGGACCGAGAATGTAACACTCACGAAATTGTAACGGTTTTCGTTATTTAGACCCAAACATTGTAACGGTTGGAACCGTTTTCGTTATTTTGACGCAAACATCTCTACTCTAATGTCATTTGTCGTTTATGCCTTGCGTCAAAAGAGGGTAATTAATTTCGATTTATATCTTTCAACGAAGAAGTTGATTTAAATTTTTAATTATCTTGGACATCCGATGTACTAATTGTCTTTTAATATTCTTAATGGCCGTCTGATTTTAAAAGGTAAGTTTTCCTACCGATATTTTGTTGAAAGTATATATTTTGTACAAGAATTTCTTAATTAAAATGTCAAGTATTGTACATAACCTCAACACATTGAATGACACAAGAATAACACGTTTTATATAATTTTATATATTATTTTGTTTGGAATAAGATAATATGCTTTACTATTTTCAAATATGTTAAATAAGACTTTTCCTATTAATTTTGGTCTCTGTGAAACTATTCACTTAATAGTTTAAATTGTTCAATTAATAGTAAAAAGCATTTTATCTGGTTCCTTTACAAACTTCCTAGTTCCTTTATTAATATTTTCACCTTTTCCTTGTAGCCTGGCTATATCTAGACGGTATAGACGTTATAGAGGTATAGAAGTTATAGAAGTATACAAGTATACAAGTATACAAGTATACAAGTATACAAGTATACAAGTATACAAGTATACAAGTATACAAGTATACAAGTATACAAGTATACAAGTATACAAGTATACAAGTATACAAGTATACAAGTATACAAGTATACAAGTATACAAGTATACAAGTATACAAGTATACAAGTATACAAGTATACAAGTATACAAGTATACAAGTATACAAGCATACAAGTATACAAGCATACAAGCATACAAGCATACAAGTATACAAGTATACAAGTATACAAGTATACAAGCATACAAGCATACAAGCATACAAGCATACAAGAATACAAGTATACAAGCATACAAGCATACAAGCATACAAGCATACAAGCATACAAGCATACAAGCATACAAGTATACAAGTATACAAGTATACAAGTATACAAGTATACAAGTATACAAGTATACAAGTATACAAGTATACAAGTATACAAGTATACAAGTATACAAGTATACAAGTATACAAGTATACAAGTATACAAGTATACAAGTATACAAGTATACAAGTATACAAGTATACAAGTATACAAGTATACAAGTATACAAGTATACAAGTATACAAGTATACAAGTATACAAGTATACAAGTATACAAGTATACAAGTATACAAGTATACAAGTATACAAGTATACAAGTATACAAGTATACAAGTATACAAGTATACAAGTATACAAGTATACAAGTATACAAGTATACAAGTATACAAGTATACAAGTATACAAGTATACAAGTATACAAGTATACAAGTATACAAGTATACAAGTATACAAGTATACAAGTATACAAGTATACAAGTATACAAGTATACAAGTATACAAGTATACAAGTATACAAGTATACAAGTATACAAGTATACAAGTATACAAGTATACAAGTATACAAGTATACAAGTATACAAGTATACAAGTATACAAGTATACAAGTATACAAGTATACAAGTATACAAGTATACAAGTATACAAGTATACAAGTATACAAGTATACAAGTATACAAGTATACAAGTATACAAGTATACAAGTATACAAGTATACAAGTATACAAGTATACAAGTATACAAGTATACAAGTATACAAGTATACAAGTATACAAGTATACAAGTATACAAGTATACAAGTATACAAGTATACAAGTATACAAGTATACAAGTATACAAGTATACAAGTATACAAGTATACAAGTATACAAGTATACAAGTATACAAGTATACAAGTATACAAGTATACAAGTATACAAGTATACAAGTATACAAGTATACAAGTATACAAGTATACAAGTATACAAGTATACAAGTATACAAGCATACACGTATACAAATATAGAAGTTTTAGAAGTTCAGTTCAAGCTGTATCGAAGAAGTTCATTTCGAGTCATAGTTCAGAAGATTGATTCAGGATATATCTATACTGTTTATGGTGATTTCTATTAAGAAGTTTAGTTCAAGCTGCATCTAAGGAGGTTTATTTTAAGTTGTGTCAAGAGGTTTGGTTCGAGTTCCACCTGAAGAAGTTTGTGAAGATTTGTACTATCCAAAGAGTATCGTTTCGAGTCCCTTCGAAGAAGGCCTCTACAAGTCACTTCTTATATGCTTCCTCTTGTACCACAGATAAGTCAATTGTGAATAATTCATCTAAATTTGAATAAGTAGAATTTGTTGCTACCTTATCTAAAACTTTATTTAATTATATCTTAATGGTTAGTGATTTTCTATATTTTTATCACTAATCGATAGTCAAGTTTAGTAAGTTTTAAATATAGTGGCACTCAACATTTTTTTTCAAAGTAATACGAGTTATTTAATAACCTGACCCACTCCCCAAAATCATAAGAGCTTAAAACACTATAAAAAATAGATAAAATAACAAGTATCATGTTACAAACTGGAGAGATACCCCAGGGCTAAATAATTTGAAGGGATTTACACCCAACCTTTCCATGAACACATCTGCTTAGATCCGA